TTATTATTATTTAACCTGTGAAATGTGTGCATATTTTTGATTTTTCTGATCGAACTTTAATCTTAACTTAATGATCGAGTAAGCTTATAGCGAGTTCTATGACAATAGAATGTCCCTAGAAATTCCCCTAACGCATCGTTAAATATTTGAGCTTAACAACTTTGACAAAATATTGCACTGACAATCATAAATGTAAATGCTGGTCATTATTTTAAGAAGTGGGTACAAATGAAATGATTTGAAAATGATATTTTTTTCCATTTCACTGAAATACCGTTAAACACAATATCTTTCCTTCTTTCTTTCTTTCTTTCTTTCATTTATTCTTTCACTGAAACCAAGTAGCGTAAGGCTTTTGGTTTTATATACATTCGAAGCGGAATAGTCCATTATTTTTTAGATATTGGTAGGAGACGTTAAACACTTGTATCTTCCTTTCTTTTTGTCATTCTTTCTTTCATTTTCTTATGAAACCAAGTAGCGTTTTCTCCTCTTTCCAGGGAATCAAAACAGCCCGTAACAGTCGCACGAATTAACGAAGAAAGGGACAAGCACAGTTATAATAAGATTATTATTACCATCCCTGCAATGGTTAGCAATGATTATAAGGAGCAAATTCTGGAAAAAAATATCCCAAATTCACCGATCTTTTAACTCTTAAAGCACATTAAGATAATTTCATATGCAAAATGCTAACGTCTCACCCCGTAGCTCTTGCTGACTAATCAACGGAAAAATCGTATGAGAACGACCGCCTTCTTGATGTTTTTTAATCCCAAGATGCTGCAAGATCCGCCAGGTTTCATTTATAGCCGCTCTTGTGCGTGTGATGTCAGGGCGATTGCTCTCCAAGCGCTTGTCAGTTAGGTTGGCCGTATCACTAATGAGCTTCGCTTGCTCATTCTCAGCTGCTGACGGTGTTAAATGCTCATAGCACCACTTTGCGCACTCGAGGTCACACTTCCTGCATAGTTCCCAATCGATTCTGAGGGTAAATCAGTTGTTTTATTAACAGAGTACTTCATGGAATCTGTTATTAAAGCCTGCTTTTAGATGCACAGATTATTATTATTATTATTATTATTATTATTATTTCCTTTGATTTCTGTTGTATTCCATCCGGATCCTAACCAGAGACCTAAGTTTAGAAATGGTAACATGACATTTTCCACTGAGCATTTTTTGAAAAAAAACCCTAAGATCAGACATATTTTACATAAATAAAGCGCTTCGTAATGTATGAAGTGTATTTTTGAGTACAATTTTGTATCTCTTTAAATCTTGAGCAGCCAGGAACCGCTTCAATGAGTTTATCGGAACCTTTTTCAAATCAAACCGGGGGTTCCAGCTACAACTGGAATTATTGATGTCCACGTGGTGTGCCATTTCCAATTCAAGATCTTTGTTTTTGATACTTTTTAAAGATCTTCAAAAATACATTACAAGCTGCAGGGACTGCCATGTTGATAAGAAAGCACATTCTGTTCACGTGGTTTTTGATCACGATATTTGGGCGATTAGCTTTGTTTATTCTGTCTGTGTGTATTGTAAAATTTCATAAATTTGTTACAGATCTTATTTCTGTAACCGGGTCTGGGTGATGTTCATACCAGCTTCTTACAATTTCCTTCCCGTAAGTTGCATATTTTCCAGTGCAGATATTGGTCCACTCTATCAAGCCGAGGTTTTTATTCAGGTGGTGCTAACACTATTCAACCTGATGCAAAATGGTCAATTGTTTCTGGACATTTGTCACATTATCTGCATTCGAGGGCAGTGGCGTAGCTAAAGGAGGGCGAGGGGGGCGGAAAGCATCGGGTGCCAGCACAGGAGGGGGTGACACAATGTCACCCCCAACAAAATTTTTCAACCAGGCTAAGGTGCCAAAAATAGTCTTAAAACAGTGGTGGAGACACAGGGTTTCGCAGGCGGGCATATGACTCCCCAGAAATAATTTATGACCCCCCAGTTTTGTCCCCCCGTCAGAAATTTTCTAATAAATTGTCAGGAAATTTTTGAGTAGGAAAAATAGCAATGTTTTCAGCTTTCATGTGTTTCAGTTGCTACAATCTTGGTTACTAACAAGAGACATTGTTGTAACATTTTATCGGATTATATGGTGTTTAACTCTGCATCATTAATAACAAAAAAGCGAAATACGAAGCCAAAAGTGCAACAATTTCAGTCTTGCCTGTGTATCAATTCGCTGAGATACAATTTTCCATTGAGTGAGCGATATACTTTTGAATATATTTACTAGTGTTGGGACGATTAATCGGAAGCGAGAATCGGAAAAATCGGAACTTTTGGGGGTATTGGAAACGGTATCGGAATCGGAAAAATTTGTGCCTATTTTCCGATTCCAAAAACGATTCTTTTAAATTTTAACTTAATTTTCCATTATTGGTACTAATGATAAATATTTATTGTTTTAAATTATCACTAAAACTAAAATCATAATAACATCAAAATACGATGTAAATTTATTTTACTTGTATAAAGAAAAACAAAAAAATAAACTTTGCATAAATTCTCTAGGTAACCTTTAAAAGAATGCAGTTGATTTACAATGTTCCGAAAAATTAAATAGAACATTTTTGTCAAGAAAAATACTTTCAAACATCATTGATAATTAAATGGTACCCAGAAAATGATGCAACGGAAAATTGGACACCGGAAAATTAGCAACAGAAAATTACGTCAACCATGAGCCAGTCGAGACTGTCGGATCTGGCTGTGCTGTCCATTGAAAACGAGCTTACAAGACAAATAGATTTTGACGATGTGATTGACCAGTTTGCCACAATGAAAACAAGAAAACATTCATTCTAAGACCATAGTATCGAATGTCATTCTTTTATGTATTGCCGTGTTTTGTATTTAGTTGTTATGAAAGTGAACAGTTGCATTTTAAAAATCTTTTCATTTGAACTGATTATTTTGTGGTATTGAATTTTGTTTTGGATCATACATGTAAACAGTAACGTACCGGTCAGTAGAGTAAAGTAGAGGTAGAGCATGTATGAAAATTTAGCTTCACAGCTAACCATTCAGCATAGGGGTGAATCAGGGGTCATTGGGGTGACATTTGAGCGGACCGCCCCGGGTGACGTTTACTCTAGCTACGCCACTGTTCGGGGGTCAACACAACTATTGCATTATTATTATTATTATTATTATTATTATTATTATTATTATAACTCGTATTACCTGTGAAAATTTCAGTTTTGCTATCTGTGACCTCTTTTTCACATACAAATTCTATCTCTTCCCACCTTTTCAATTTATACACCCCCTTTCCTGTTTTCTCGTTCCTTGTCTCTTTCATTCTTTCTTCCTTTCCTTCTTTTTTACCATTTATTACCAAACTTTTCAGCCTTTTCCTATTCTCTCTTTCATCTTCTCACATGGTTACCAGTAGAAGAACGAATGCATCAGATTCTGTTAAGGTAATTGCTTTCTGAATGGCAACAAAACGACAGTTTGCTATAACTGAACTGTCCAAAGACCTCAATAATAATAATAATAATTGAAGGGATTCCTTGTAGCCCATGCCTTAAAGACAGACAAAAAATTTGTACTCACAAGTACAGTTTACACATTATGAAGAGATGTATCTATGTAAAATGTGTGTGATCTTTGGTTTGTTTTTGTTTTCACGGAAATGATCAGTGGAAAATGTCATTTTTGACCTTAGGTCTCTGGTTGCGACCCGGAAGGAAATGTGTATACAACAGAAATCAGAAGATGATGATAAACAACGACAGTAAGAGTAACAAGATGGGAGAGATTAAGAACATTATGAATAATAAAAAAAAAGAGTCAGACTTTGAAGAAGAAGAAGAAGAAGAAGAAGAAATTGAGCAACGAAGATGTCCAGAAAAGGAAGAAGAAAAAATTGAGCAACGAAAATGTGAAGAAGAAGAAGAAGAAATTGAGCAACGAAGATGTGAAGAAGAAGAAATTGAGCAACGAAGATGTAAAGAAGAAGAAATTTAGCAACGAAGATGTCCAGAAGAAGAAGAAGAAGAAAAAATTGAGCAACAAAAATGTGAAGAAGAAGAAATTGAGCAACGAAGATGTGAAGAAAAAGAAGATGAAGAAATTGAGCAACGAAGACGTCCAAAAAGTAAGAAGAAGAAGAAGAAGAAGAAGAAAAAAAAGAAGAAGTAGAAGAAGAAGAAATTGAGCAAAGATGTGCAGAAAGGAAAAAGAAGAAAGCGACAGATCTCGAAGAAAACTATCAATATACAAGAAATATATAAAATATAAAAAATATATAAAATATATAAAAATACATAAAATATATAAAAATATATAAAAAATATATAAAAGAAAGAAATTTAGAAGAAGAGTAGAAAGAGTAAAGAGAAGTGTTTGCATAGAAAGAAGAAAGACGTACATTTAAAAGTTATGTGCCATGCATGATACACGCTTAGCCGATGCAGATTTTTTTTCCGCAGTAGGTTGCCAGTTCTTTCTGCGGTAGACCAGATGCCTTCCAAGGCTATAGAACCCGATCTGTTCTGTTATTTACCCATAGCATCGAAGAAGAGAATTTCCGAATGATATTAGCACGTAAATGAATATAATGGATTTGACTGGAATTCGAAATCGGCTGTCTGATTCCTCAATCCCAACCGCTATCAATTACTCCACTGTTAGTCTTGTGACTCACGTATATGTTTATGTGCCCAAAACAGAGCTGAAATGTTAATTCTTCCAGAGTTTTGTCGCTGCAAGAGAATGTGACACCAATTGTCTTCTTTACTTTCCATCTTTATTTAACCATTTCTCGTTTTTTTGTTTTGTTTTTTTTTTTTTAAGAAGACTTTGTCTTTTCCATTCTCACTCGGCGTTGACTTTTAAATTTCTTTCTACTAAATTCCGCCATTTTACACGCTCTTCATCCCTCGCTGTTTTTCTCTTTGTCAATATTTCTTAGTCTCACTTTACTTATTCATTCCTACCTTTTTCGTCTCATATCTCACCCACGCGTGATGTCTTTTTTTTTTTATATTTTTAGTTTTGTTTTGTTTCATTTTCTGTTCTCCAATCCATTTTCTCTGACCTTTACAGGACGTCTCCCCGTTTTACCGGATTTCCTTGATCTGAAATCCATTCTCTCTCTCTCTCTCTCTCTCTCTCTCTCTCTCATACATACACACTTTCCCTTCTCTTTCTCTTTCTCTCTCTATCTCTCTCACACACACTCTCTCTATTTCTCTCTCCCACATACACCCTCTCTCTTTCTGCATCTCTCTTTCTCTTTCTTTCTCTCTCTCTCTCTTTCATTCGTACCTCTTTTCTTTCGTACCTCTTTCATTCTCTCTCACACTCTATTTCTCTCTCTCTCTCTCTCTCTCTCTCTCACATGCACTCTCTCTATCTCTTTCTATTTTTGTCTTTCTCTCTTTCACACATACACACAGTCTTTCTTTTTCTCTCTCTTTCTATGTTTCTTTCTCGCTCTCTTTTTCTCTCTGTCTCTTTCACACAATCTCTCTATATATATTTCTTTTTCCCTCTCTCACATAATCTTTTTTCTCTCTCTCGTTCTCTCTCTCTCTATTTCCTTCTCTCTCTTTCTTTCCTTTCTCCCCCTTCTCTCTCTCTCTCTAACCTGTCCTTTGACATAGACCTGATCCTCGTTCTCTCATTCCATTAATTTTCTTTCTTGTAGAAATTTCGCTTTCAACCGCTATCTCTAAGAGACTCCTCTCTTATAGAACTTTAGCTTGCTTACTTTTATAATCTATTCTCTGTATCCTACACGTCTCTATTTTCATCCCGACTCTCCTTTCTTTCTAACTCACCTTGCTCTTCCCTCCTTGCTCTTCTTTTACCCTCCGCTCCTCATATGAGATCATCCTGACCCAGAAACCGCATAAACTTTTGCAATTCACAACCTACCGTGACCGACTGTTGCTCATTAACTTAGTATCTAGATTCGGTTGCCACAGTGTCTTGGCTCTTCATTCTTTTCGAACACGTATCGATTACCAGCTGATTGCACAACGATCTTTGTGTCGATGGAGCAGCGGAGAAAAATCAAAAATCGGCAACTTATCATGTCATTGTTCTTATCTCATCTAATCTTAGTCTTTCTCATTCCAAGCGAGATATCGGGGCGTGTTCACGTCGCTATCTCGTGACCGACTTTATCACAAGTTTAGTTCTTAGTACTACCATTCAAATTTGGACTTCGATGACGTTACTACTTTATATCTTAATCTATTTTTTGTGGGCGTGTATCTCGTCTGATTGGAACGCAGCATAGTCTTTTCTCGGCCTAAATTCCTAAGCACAGATCCCTCAGCAAGAAACAAAATCTGTGGTCCGCATTATGGCTGAGGTAGCTGTGTCTTTCTCATACCACTAGCGTTTGTTCTAGCCTAAGTAGACCTGTCCCCAAGATGAATTCTTAAGAATTGAGTTATCTCCCTTAACTCCTAACCAGATCACTTTTTCTACACGTTTCATTTTGTATATATATATATATGTATGTATGCGTGCTTGTGTGTAATTTGCAATTTGTTATACAAGGTGCGTCAGAAATACCTCTCACATATACCTTCCAGAAATACCTCCCACATTAGATTAAGACTCCATTAAAACTTACCATTATGTGGAAAGTATTTCTGGGGGTATATGTGGGGGTATTTCCGCCGCACCTTGTATTTATAGAAGAAAATTGCTCTCTATTGTTGATAGGTATAGACAATATAGACATGGAAATCAACATTGTATAGTGACTGAAGCGATCTTCACACCAGGACCTCAAATTTGCACTGAAGCGTGATACTGGCAGTCTCTAATATTTGCTGATCTATCTATCTATCTATCTATCTATCTATCTATCTATCTATCTATCTATCTCATTCTGTTCATATCTATCTATAGTCCATTCTGTTCACATTTATATATCGTTTTCTCTTGATATCTCTCAGATAGAGAGATATTAAGAGAAAACAATATCTCATTTTATTCACATCTATCTATCTATCTATCTATCTATCTCATTCTGTTCATATCTATCTATAGTCCATTCTGTTCACATTTATATATCGTTTTCTCTTAATATCTCTCTATCTATCTAATTTTATTCACATCTATCTATCTATCTATCTATCTATCTATCTATCTATCTATCTTGTAGTTGGCAGTAGCACATTTCTAAAAACACTTTTCGGATTACATCTATATTTTCGTTGTCCTGTTATTACCAAGAAGTAAAAAACAAAAACAAATCTATTTCCATACCTGAAGATGTCTGTAGGAACAGACGAAAGCTTGTAAAAAACTAAAAAAGACCTTATGCAACTGGAATTTATAAACAGGGATCATAACATTCATATACAGGTTCGGGGTTAATGTACTTTATTAAAATTGTTTGCGAAGATCTATTCTCGCCATTTGAATCATTAACTTCTATATCTGTTTTTTGTATGAATGATTCATGTAATCTATCTATCTATCTATCTATCTATCTATCTATCTATCTCATTCTGTTCATATCTATCTATAGTCCATTCTGTTCATATTTATATATCGTTTTCTCTTAATATCTATCTATCTACCTATCTCATTTTATTCACATCTATATATCTATCTATCGATCTATCTATCTATTTGATTGGATTTTTATTCGACATTTCTAATTAAATAGAAATCTTATTTATTGTGGCTACACGTATTTGAGTTGCTCTCCCTTATTTTTAAAGTTTTCTTAAACACTGAAATTAATGGTAACCTGCCTAGATTGAGAAGTCTTACTAAAGAAAGACTGTACCTCCGACTGGCACGAAACTGAAACTAGCAGTTACAGATTCGTAGAAGTCCTAACGAGAAATGTTTATTCCTTAAATTGTTGCGCTATCAACGCGTGACCGAATCGGTAACGGCACGTTTCGGTTATAGAAAAGGATTCCCTGATGAAAAGGGAGATACAGGTTCGATTCATTTCGGTGTTACAATTTTTCTTTAGTAGGATTTCTAGACTGGTTGCTATTAACTTAAATGTTAAAAACAAATCATTAGACGCTTAAACTTAATTCACATTTAAAATCGGTCCAAGTTATTGAAACATCCTTTATTTAGCCTTGCTGTCTGAAGCCTATGAATTCAGTTTTAGAGGCGTTAACACAGAGTACAGCATCATTAGCAAAATTTTCTAAATGATGTAGGCGAACTGTGGCATTGGGAATGGTGTCTGTTGTGATAGCTACATTATCTGTAGAGTCAATATCGGTCAATATTTTTACGGGATACCGACTCGAGTATTGTTGATAAAGTAAAACCTAAATGATATTATTCATTTTAATTTCTCAATACGTAAGTCAAGGATGATAACAAAGAGAAAAAGGTGAAAGCGTGTCACCCTGGAGGATCTCTTCTTAAATGTCGATGAAGATAATGTCTCCGTCTTGGGATCTAACCAAAGATTTGGTGTTTCTGTATAACTAGCAGAAAGTAGTTACACTATTTATACAGGATACCGACTCGAGTCTTGTTGATAAAGTAAAACCTAAATGATATTGTTCATTTTAATTTCTCAATACGTAAGTCAAGGATGATAACAAAGAGAAAAAGGTGCAAGCGTGTCACCCTGGAGGATCTCTTCTTAAATGTCGATGAAGATAATGTCTCCGTCTTGGGATCTAACCAAAGATTTGGTGTTTCTGTATAACTAACAGAAATTAGTTACACTATTTTTACAGGATAACGACTCGAGTCTTGTTGATAAAGTAAAACCTAAATGATATTGTTAATTTTAATTTCTCATTACGTAAGTCAAGAATGATAACAAAGAGAAAAAGGTGCAAGCGTGTCACCTTGAAGGATCTCTTCTTAAATGTCGATGAAGATAATGTCTCCGTCTTGGGATCTAACCAAAGATTTGGTGTTTCTGTATAACTAACAGAAATTAGTTACGCTAAATCATCTTTATTAATTTCGGATATCACCAGGACAATGGTGGGCCTTAGTGAATACTCCAAGTGTAGTAATCAATTTGATTTAAAACTGGTGAGTTTGGAGGCCACATGTTTCGTGTTACATGATCGGAAAGATAGCCATTCTTTTATGGGTTATGTGGAATCTGTGAGCAAGTGTTATGGTTTGTTGAAATATGTATGGCCTTCCACGCCGTACTTCACTTATCCGGGGCTTGACAACTGTATCTCCATCAAGTCAACCCTAAGACCCTGTCGAAAGATGTGAGGTGGCATTACATGACCTTCCTTACTCAACATTCGTAACGCCATCACAGTTGCTGGAAACTCAGTGTGCACCAGTCTGGGGACCTCAGAGGTAACAACCTTGTCATTTCACATGTTAGGCATTTGGTTTTTTTCTCATTAGAGAAGACCCAAAGCATGCCATGTTAAGTAATCGTTTTTTTTTTTCCTGTATCTTTGCAGGCATGAACCGACCTTTCCTAAGTGCATACGACTTATATCAAATGTCTTCGTTCAACACAGATCTGATAGTCAATTCCAACACCTGCAGTTCTTTGGCGATGGCCCTCGTTGATTTTCCAGGGTCTTTATCGATAATGTTTTGAAACCTTTGGTTGAATTATGGTGTCCTTATAGTCTCCGAACTTTTAGAATAATTTTCTTTTCTCTTTCATAAAGATGAAACATTCCCGCAAAAGACTTCATCCGAATTATTTGTACAAAAGATCTTGCAATTTTTGTTTGAATTTCTGGGATGAGGAGTTATAATTATTTACACGATTTATTTTGTTTTTATCTACCCCGACCAAAACGTTGTGATAAATATGGCAACAAAGATGAGGACAACAGTCCGAATAATGTTAATTGTCTATATATATATATATATATATATATATATATATTTAATGGTCTGATAATTTTTTTAAGCTGACTTCATACTAGAATAATTCGTGATGAACGTATTTTAATTCCTGTTTTGCTCAAGTAATGCTAGCAATTTCCGGGTACACATTTAGCAATAGGTGGCATTGAAATCATGTTGAATAATTATTTTCTCATCTACACATTCATGCGATCAGAACTGATGGCCGCTGATGCATTAATATTGCCATCTGTGCCATTTTGTAACCCTCATTGTATTATTAACTATGGGATGATACAATTTTAGCGTCACGTTAAGTTATCTATTTCTAAACACGTGTCTAATATAGTAATGTTCTGGGGCCACGATTTTAAACAACAACAAAAATACCAAGAAGAAATCTGCTTCACTTCTTTTCATTGTATTATACTCTTTTCTTTCTATTTCTCACTATATTTCTCTTCTTTCTATCAACAGTTTCTTTTTTTCTTTCTTTCGTTTCCTTTTACATCATTCTTTCTTATTTTCTTTTCTTTGGTTACAATTTGTCTTCTGAGGTCTATGTAAATTCCGATTTCCTTTGCTTTCTGTGTATTCTTTTTGTTTCCCCCCAGGCTTATACCACACTCTTCTTTATCTCTCTCCTTTCTCCATTTACTTTAAGTTGCTCTTTTTCTTTCAGCCCCCATGAAATTCAGCATTTTTTTCTGCTATCATTTCTACTTTTTTTTTCTCGGCATTTTAAGATTCTCGCCTTTATCTGTATTCTTTCGCCATTTTTTTTAAGTTGCTCTTTTTCTTTCAGCCTCTATGCAAT